CCCACCTCTCTCCCCAAAATACAGCATATCACTAGGGTTTGGATAGCTCAGTAGTCATAAAAACGAAATGTTTAAATTCAGTGTCTGACTCATCAGATTGTTAGAGGCCCTAAAAATATCCTGGAAAAACATTTGTGGAATCAGAACTGCCAACAATCCAACAAACTGACATTTCAGATCTTTCTGCTTCTTTTGGCGTCTTCAGAGCACAACATGTTTAGCTTGGTCCCATCAGGTCGCTACAGATGTTCATCTAAAGTATGTGTGAAGTTGTATGGAATCAAAAAGGTGGAGAAATAAACAGCCAACAACAGCAGCCAGTAAAGTTCAGGTCAATTTATTGAGTTTCTTATCAGGCCCTGAATATGCGTTTCCATGTTACAACAATTGAGGACAGAGTTGCTGGAATATACCTTGTGCCTCTTTAATGCATTTTGTAGGCAAAGAAACCCAAAAGCATTTTTTTTTAATAGTAACAATGGAAGAACGACATGTTTTTAAATGTCATCCAATCAAAACCATTTCAGTGAAAATAAAAATGGGTGAAATTATGGGAAAGAGGGAGGAAACATGGAATCTTGTTTTATACCAATTCAAGTCCAATCTAGTCATGGTTTTAGGAAAACAGGGCCAAAAAAAGTACCAGTAAGTACAAGGAAGGAGAACAATTCAACAAAAGGATAATTTAAACCAACACTTATCTGCCAATTTAGATCATAAGCACCCACTTCTACTCATGCGACTTTGTCTTCATCTACTTTTAATTTTACCGCCACTGTTCTGCATCGAAGCTGCAGGGGGACTGCTGCTCAGCTTACAGCAAATCTGCTGAGTGTGTCATTACAATCTGGCAAAAACCTCCAGCAGCAGTGGTCGAGTCTATTTTAGTGCAGCAAATCCACGGTAGAAATATTAGCGGCATTTAAGCCTTTAACACTAATAGTCCACATTAAGATGTTAACTTTTGTTTTACACCAGCAGGGAAAAAAAGAAAATTCATTATAGTATCCAAGTCCTCACCCTTTCTCTGATTTTAACTTTGAATATGTTTCTGATAATATCCCTGCCTCCCGCCCCTGTCAGCACTCCATTTAAAGAGTGCCAACACTCACATACAAAGACTTTATGACGACAACAAAAACCAACATTCATGACCACATTCAGCATAACTTCCTCTGTGACAGGTTAAGCCCGACAAAACAACAACAACGACTTAATGCTGTAGTTTCTATCGGTTACGACGACTCTCCCCCCCTCCCAATTCAAAACATTCGACTGAGTCGAAATGAGGCTGCGCTCGTTACTTTAGAGTGTAAGAATGTTACAACTGACTGCGCAAACAGCAAATATATAGCTAAGAAACAGCTGGCAGATTCATTTCATCTCATCCCTAAAGTAAAAATCCAACC